CAATGTCACGAAATCGCTTCGAACAAATAAGGAGCAATTTGCACTTCAATGATAATGATAAGATGCCTGATAAAAATGCTGCCGATCACGATCCTTTGTATAAAATACGACCAATCGTGAATCATTTCAATCAAAAGTTTCTGTCCGTTCCAACGACTCAACGTTTATGTGTGGATGAGCAAATGTGCGCAACAAAGATGAGAACTTTCCTTCGACAATATCTTCCAGATAAACCACATAAATGGGGGATAAAGCTGTTCGTTTTGTGTGATTCTTTTGGTTTTTGTTATAATTTCGAAGTACATTGCGGCGCAGGAGACAATGTTGTTCAGACTGGCACACCTTGGAGCATCAGCTAACGTCATCATTCGATTGTCTCGAAACGTTCCAGATTCAAAAAACCATATAATATATTTCGACAACTACTACATGTCACTGCCACTTTTAGCATATCTCAAATCACGAGGAATTCATTCTTTGAGAACCATTCGTTCAAATCGCATTCCGAATTGCAAGCTGCCGAATGATAATGATCTCAAGAAATAACCTCGAGGATATTCAACTGAGTTTTGTGGATCGGCCTATGGAGTTGATATCTCTTTAACAGTTTGGAAAGACAATAACGCTGTACGACTCGCATCCACCTACGTAGGCACAAAGCCATTCCGGAATGAAACAAATCTAAAACCCAAAGTGTAACGTTTTGTTCGCTCTGAAAAAAAATTTGTTGATGTCGATTGCCCCAATGTAATCCATGAATATAATAGTCATATGGGCGGTGTCGACCTTATGGATGGACTCATTGGTCGATATAAAATTCCAGTGAAGAGCCAAAAGTACACAAATCGACTTTTCATACTTGACTTGGCCATGGTAAACGCCTATGTTTTGTTCAAAAGAATCAACAAGACCGACACTAATGATAGGCGATACCAATTGCCAAACTTTCGAGCAGATATCGCATACGTACTTTGCACGCAGCAACGTTCTTCGATACCAAGAGCTCCAGGGCGCCCACGCCAAACTATTCAGAAGAAATGCACAGGAAAAAAGACTTTTCTAGCTCCTGAAGACGTTCGCTACGATGGATGCGGGCATTTTCCACAGTTTTTAGCACGCGCTGGTAAAAAAACTTGTAAATTTCCTGGTTGCACCTCCGAAACTCAAATTGTATGACGAAAGTGTAATCTGAACCATTGCCTTTCTTAGCAAAGGGACTGCTTTTACGATTTTCACCACAAATGACCGTCTTTTTACGCACATAAGTATGGCATTTTTTTAACTTTTTTGAATACCTATAGGAGATATCACTTATGTTTATTTTTTACCAATTCTTGTTATACACTCTTGTTTTTGTTTAATAAACGTACGTTGTACACTGAATGAAAACAAATTGCTTTGGAATTTTTTTGGAATTCTTTCCCAAAGCCGCCTGAAGGCGGTCGAAGGTTCTGGCCCTATAAAACCCAGTCTAAGCACAAAACTGAACTTTTTTGTTGAAGACCCTATACTTTTAACACAAATCCAATCCAAATATAATTTTGTTATTTAAAAAAAATTTTTGGGCACTAGAGGGTTAATGGCCTTGAATGCAATTATAATATAATTTCTTTGACTGAAACTTGGCTCAAACCTCACACTTTTAATTCAGAGATTCTTTCAAATAATTATCATATCTACAGAAAAGATCGGGAGGACGGAGTCGGCGGTGGCGTACTCTTTGCCGTAGACTCTTCAATACCATCTGAAGAAGTTAGTCTTCCACACATTGAATCTGCAGAATTCAAATGCTTTCGTGTTCAGGTTGGAAGGGGGTTTACTTACTTAGCTCTATGCTATATTCCTCCCCGATCAGACTTATCAGTGTATTCACAACATGTATCTTTACTAAAATCAATTAATTCAATGATTAAACCCTCTGATTTATTGATTGTATTGGGTGACTTTAATTTACCAAATGTATCATGGAACATGATTGACAATGATATAATACCTTTCGCGTCTAGCGCGTGCAACAACGTATTTTTAGAGGAGATCGCTGAACTCTGCCTGAATCAAGTTAACCCTAGAACACACACCCAGAAAATACCACGTAAACACACACCCGGGATACGTTTGTACCCGGGACCTTATTTTGCGGTTTTTTTTAATGCTTATTCAACCGATTTCTATGATTTTTTTTTTTGAAATGTATATTTTAATATATAACAAGTATTTTGTCTTTTGTTTCATTCGAATATTCCTACTGGTTCCAGCGATATGGGCAAATAAAGTCAGGACATGCAACAGTGGATTTTTGTTTTTGTTGTTGTCCTGATAAATGCAAAACAAAATAATATAATTTATAATAATATACTTGTAGAGTAACAACGAATACACATTTTGGTTTTTATTTCATTGAAATATTCTACCTGGTTCAAAAGATATGTGCAAAAAGGTCGCGCAAGGTATGGGTACGTAGGTAGCAAATACACTGGTATAACTGGTTTTTGTATTTTATATGCAGCTGCAAGGGTTGTTTTCACACGAGGTGTTGTTATAAATGCTGCCTGTTGATATTTTCATTATTGTTTTAGTGCTCAAAAGTGTAAGAAGTGAAAATATAAGTGAAAATAAATATAACTGAAACTATAAATAACTGGATACGAAATGACTTCAAGAAGAAACGAATATTTATCAAGTGCAGCATATAGAAGGTAAAAAATGTAAAATAAGCAACAATGTAAACATATACTAATTTTTTTTATTATGCAGGCTAACTGAGGAACAGCGAGAATCATATATACAATCTTTATTTGATGAAATTTGTGACGATGACGCTCCCTATGACTTTGACTCAGAAGATGAAGAAGAAATTCAAATCAATGACATTGAAATTGCTGATGACGATGCTGAAGTTTCGCAAAGTGCCGCAGAAGTATTACCTGATTATGCGGACTATGAGGATGATGAAGAAGACGATGAAGAAGAAGAAGTAGAAGAAAATAATGAATTACCTGCTAGTGCCGAAAAATTTGTTGCACGTGATGGTACTGAGTGGATGAAAGAACCAAATGTAAGTCGTCAGGTACTCAGACAAAATATTATAAGAGAACGTACTGGACCAGCTAGATGCACTGAAATGTTGTCAATAGAGCAAACATTCAAATGTTTCATGAACGTTGAAATGGCTGATATAATTATGCGCCACACAAATAAGTTAGCAAAAGAAACTTATAATGCTTACAACAATGCGCATCCAAACACAACTCCTAAGTCATGGACGCCTGTGTCAATAACAGAGCTGTATGCATTTTTTGGCATACTTATTATGACTGGTGCGAACCATAGCAATGGAGAACATGCTCGAGATTTATGGAGCGTCAAAAACTATCCTTTATATCGCGCCACAATGGGAGTCAACCGTTTCTGTTCGATATTGCGGTTCCTAAGATTTGACGATAAAAACACTCGTGCAACACGCTTACTAACTGATAAAGCAGCACCGATCAGTGAGTTGTGGACGATGATGAACAATAATCTTGCTGCACATTACAAGCCCAGCTCATGCTTGACGATTGATGAACAATTATTTCCTTACCGTGGACGCACACGGTTTACGCAGTACATACCGTCAAAACCTGCTAAATATGGTATCAAGGTTTGGTGGATTTGCGATGCCACAAATGCATATCCACTGCATGGACAAATATATACTGGCCAAGCAGAAACTGGTAGGGAAACGAACCAAGGCGAACGAGTGGTGAAGGATTTGTCTGCCAAATACCAAGGTAGTGGCCGAAACATTACAATGGACAATTTGTTTACGACCTTGCCAGTTGCAGAACT